GAGTTCTCTCAGGCTCACTGCCGCACATATGACTCATCCACTCATCTATTTGACCTTGCTGAAATTGTTTCATATAAATGTAATTGTAAGGGATTCAAAAGTGTTCGCCTACGCAATGTGTGTTTTCGGGGACCGAATGGGCGGGCGTTGGATGAATGCAAACAGCTCGCGTTCATGTTATATAACGTGTGTTGGGCTGTTTTATGCACGATCCCCCACCCCACCCCCGTTCCTCAAGGTGGACATCTGCACGGGGAACAATCAGTTTTGTCCGGTTCTCCTAGTGAAGCAAAACCAAGCGCAGTTTTCTCCTTCCGTTTCGTGGTGCCTGGCCACTTCAACTCGGCAACTAGATATTATTGAAAATGATTTAAAATTGACAGCTAGTGTTTGAAATTTCTAGTAGGAAATAGTTTGACAAAAATAATTTGACACTTATCCTTACTTATTTTTTTGTAAATATTTAGAATATGTCATAAGTCCGTAGATTTTGTTGCCTAATATGAACCCCAACTAGCGTTTGTAAACAACTGCAGTTGAATGTACCCCGCAGTTCGGAATTCCAGTCCCGATGGGATACGCCGAGGACCGTTGATGATCGATTCCCATTGATTTCAGAAACATCCGGTAATAGTGTGAGTGTTAAAACTATAAAGTGCACCTGTGGTCTGATCGAAAATCGGTCTATCTGTCTAATTGAATCGGTTTTTCACCGGACCTCGTCGTTAATTTCTTCCTACTGTGTCCTCGGTGAAAGTTGATTTTTTTACTGTCACAACCATCTGGTTCAGTTCATGCTCCTCTGTTTCACAAACATGCGCACAAATGTTTACAACTAATTCACACCTTCATTGCTTTATCCAAAGACTGCGAACCGCAGTTGAAATAATCCAGATTATTCTCTTCCGGGATACTCGTAACCCCCCTACTGCTTTCGCATCGGACTTCTCAGCAAGATAGTACATCCTCGTGTGGGGTTCTACTTCGGAATCCATTCCACCCCATCGCCCTCCGTCGCCGAGACACGGTGGCTATTTGCCTCTCCACATCTGCCACTTAGCTCGATCATTTCTCCTGTACGAAACAGACCTCGGTCACCAACATCACCAGCAGCTGAGTAAAGCGAGTATAATGTGTTCTCCGTGTGATCATCTTTTCTCACAGAAGATAACCTAAGTTGATTATCTTTTTTTCGAAATTCATACAACCAATCCCTGCCTATGTTTTTGATTGTGCCTTCGTGTGAGTTCCTCCGTGAATGGTTTCATCCGTTCTGTGTCCAGAACTATCCTTGTTCTACTTGTTAGAGCTGTCGATTCGGGAACGTTTATTCTTCTTCAAACATCCTTCGATTTTGTTGTAATCGCTTGAGTTTAGTTAAAACCTAATCTACCTCAGGTCGCCGTAGTAAATCCCAGTCCGGATGTGGTTCTGGGTCTACAGCCATCTGGTTGCACTTATCCGATTTGTCTGTTTGATTGGTTGATTTGATCTCCCGTTCGCCACCCAACTACCTACTCACCTT